AACTACCAATTGCTGAAGCATATGGAACAAGTTCCATGTGATCACGCTCCTCGGCAGTCTTGGGTGACTGCTCCTTTGACAATTTAATGTGATTTTCCAATGGAGTAGTCCTGGGTTTAGCATCATTAACCCTGAATCTGCGCAGTACCTTCTCAATGTACAACTCCTGAGATAGATTTCAAGTGCCAGCAGATCTATCCCGAGAAATCTTCATCCCCAAAATCTGTTTTGCTGGACCCAAATCATTCATCTCAAATGCTGCAGACAACCTTGTCTTCAGATTGTTAATCTCCTTTATACTAGATCCTGCAATCAACATATCATCCACATACAAGAGTAGAAAGACATATGAATCAGTGTATTTCTTTAAGTAACAACAAGGATCTTTTTCAGCTTTGCAGAATCCACTCTTGGTCATGAAGGAGTCAAATTTCTTGTACCACTGCCTTGGCGCTTGCTTTAGTCCATACACGCTTCTGGTGAGCTTGCACCCCATGTGTTCCTTTCCTGGAACCACAAATCCTTCCGGTTGCTGCATATAGATCTCTTTGTCTAGATCTCCATGTAAAAACGCTATTTTTACATCCATTTGCTCAAGATGCAAATTCTCCGATGCAACAATACTCAACAGAGTTCGAACAGAGGTTAACTTCACAACAGGAGAAAATATTTCAGCATAATCAATATCTTCCCTTTGTGAATATCCTTTAACCACTAAACGAGTCTTGAACCTTCTTTTGCCATCTGGTTCAGTCTTGATTCTGAACACCCACTTGTTCAGCAAAGCTCTCTTCCCTGCAGGTAACTCAGTTAACACCCATGTGTCATTCTTCTAAAGTGACCTCATCTCATCATCCATGGCTTGCTCCCACTTGATCGAATCCTCCACCTGTAGGGCCTCATCAAAAGACTCTGGGTCCCCCTCATCAGTCAGCAATAGATAGTGTAATGAAGGTGAATACCTATCTGGTGCCCTCATGGATCTGGATGATATCCTTAACACCTGCTCAGGTGTAACTTGTTCCACTTCAGATTCTTCAGTAGGAGTTGGTTGAGTATCTGCTTCGACATCTCTGGGGTTACTCTTCTCCAACTCAACCTCAACTCCCACTTGCTTTGTAATCTCTAGAACCTTCTAATCTTTGTCCTTGTACAAGACAGACTCATCAAATGTCACGTCGCAATGTCCCAAGATCTTTTTGTTCTTGTCATCCCAAAACTTGTAACCAAACAAATTAGAACCATAGCCTATGAAGTAACACTTCACAGCCTTGGCATCAAGCTTGTCTCTCTTTTCTGGATTAACATGAACATAAGCAGTGCAATCAAAAGTCCTCAAGTGTGAGTACTTGAGTTCTTTTCCTGTCCACACCTCCTCTGGAATCTTGAACCCTAAAGGAACTGACGGTCCCCTGTTGATCAAGTGTGTAACTGTGCTCACAGCATCCGCCCAAAGTGTTTTGGGAAGCCCACACTATATCCTCATACTCCTTGCACGCTCATTCAATGTTCTGTTCATCCTCTCAGCAATCCCATTTCGCCTTGCCTTACCAGGAACTGTTCTCATCAATCTGATTCCCTCAGCTGCACAGAATGCCTTGAACTCTAATTTGTCATACTCTCCTCCATTGTCAGACCTTAGGCATTTGACTTTCACACCGGTCTGATTCTCAACTTCAGCTTTTCACTTCTTGAAAGTTGCAAACACATCTGACTTATGCTTCAAGAAGTAAACCCATACCTTCTTGCTGAAATCATCAATGAAGGTAACATAGAATCTGGATCCTCCAAGTGATGATACTAGAGATGGTCCCCAAACATCTGTATGGACCATTTCCAACCGCACTTTCTTTGGCTCTCTAGGAGTCTTTGTGAAGCTTACTCTATTCTGTTTGCCCATAACACAGCTCTCCCAAAGACTCATATCAACAGACTTCAGACCCTCTAATGCTCCTTTTGCAACCAACATCTTCATTCCTTTAGTACTCATGTGTCCAAGTCTGTTGTACCACAGACATGAACCGGAAGCACCTTCAGCAACAGCGCCATATTTATACACCCGGCAGTGGTGTACAAGGTTCCAGATTTGGTGCCACGAGCTACTACCATAGCACCTTTCACGATCTTCCACGAACCTTTCCCAAACTCTGCTGCATATCCCGTTCTATCCAACTGACCAACAGAGATCAGATTTTTCTTGATCCCAGGAATATATCTGACATCCTCCAATGTCCACTAGTTTCCCCAGGTGGTCTTTATGCAAACATCCCCCTTTCCTTCAATCTCTAAGGCTTTATTGTCAGCAAGATATACTTTTCCAAAATTTCCAGATTTGAAGTTTTGGAACAACTCCTTGCTTGGAGACGAATGGAAAGATGCACCAGAATCCAAAATTCATGATTCAACCGGGCTATTCACACTAAGGATTAGAGCATCCCCAATGTCCTCTGCTGAATTTACAGAATCATTGTCATCTCCAAATTTCTGATTCTGTTTCTTCTTTGGCTTTGTACAGTTCGTCCGAAAGTACCCTTTTTCTCCACAGTTCCAACAAGTCACGTTTGATCTGTTAAGTGATTTTCATCGATTCTTTGATTTTGATCGACCATGTTGATTTTGGACTTTCGTCTTACTTCTCCCCCTTCGATCAACGCTGAGAGCACTGCCTGATGAATCTCCCACTTCTCGTTTGCGAATACTTTCGCTAAGAACAACATCACGGATTTCATCAAACTTCAGTTTCTCAGATCCACGAGAACTGCTAATTGCAGCAACAACAGTATCCCAAGACTCGAGCAGATATGACATCAAAATCAACACCTTAATTTTATCTTCGAAATTAATATCCACAGAATTGAGTTGACTCACAATCATATTGAACTCGTTTATATGATCAGAAACGGATCCAGTTTCAGACATCTGTAAATTGAACAATCTACGCATCAAATATACCTTGTTCATAGCTGATGGTTTTTCATACATGTTTGACAGTGCCTTCAACAGACCGGACGTAGTCTTCTCCTTCACGATGTTGAACGCCACGTTTCTTGACAAAGTCAACCGGATCAACCCTAGAGCCTGGCGATCCTTGAGTTTCCACTTCTCCTCCGTCATGTATTCCGGCTTCACCCCGGTCAACAGTTCGTGAAGATCTTTCTGGTACCGATAATCTTCGATCTGCATCTTCCAGAAACTGAAATCGGATCCATCAAACTTCTCGATTCCAAGCTTCGAACTATCCATCTTCTGTGATCGTGTTGAATCTCCTTAGCTCTGATACCAGTTGTTAGGATCGAATTCACGCACACACACTAAATGAATGGAGAACACAAGAACTTTCAAGAGAAAGAGATGAGAGATCTAGAGAGAGAAAGAGAAAACCCAATATTTCGTGGTAACACCCTGTGAGTAAACTTCCACGGCGGTGAGGTATATTTATATTAATAAATCAGAGTATTTTTGGTTACAGAGAATAAATAGGAAAACCTAAAATAGAGAATAAATAGGAAAACCTAAAATTAATCAGGCTCCACTACCTAACATGTTCAATGAAGAGACCCCGGTGCTGCATGAACCAAAGGTGAGAGCATTTTATTATAATATGATTTTATGCCTGATGGAAGTTTGAACACACAAGTAGGAGGCATTAGTACTCATTTTTCAGAAGACGCCTTGGGGTTAATCGTGGAGGTTCTTCTAATAAGGATGGGTTCAATAGCGAAAAAAACTCCTACCATCGAATTCGTAGAAGATATAGGAAAAATTCCCGAACTCAATTATGCGGGAATCAAGAAGAACCTTCTCAGGAGAGAATCAACTGTATTTTGAATTTGTCAACAAAGTACTTCTCCCCAAATCTAAAAAACGAACAACTGCATCTATAATTGTCATGTTTCTCATGGAATGTTTGCATAGGATGGATGATATTAATATCCCTGCTATTATGCTTGAACACATGCGCAAGATTATTATTATCAAGGACGGAAAGCACGGAATATGTTATGGCTACCTGCTGACATGAGTGTTCAAACACTTCAATATTCCTGTTGGAGCATGTGTGAAAGGAACAACGAAGCAAAATTCTCCCTGAATACTCTTGTAGAATGTGAATGTGTAGAAGGTAGGACAGGGAAAAACAACACAATGTGTAGAAGGTAGGACAGGGAGAAACAACACAATGTCAGAACTTGTAACATTGTAAGAGACGTTAAAGTTTGAACTAGAAGCCATGACTGTCACTCAGCTAAGATTGCTTGCTTGAATGCAAAGCGTCATAATGCTTTGACTAAGGGACCAGGTGGAGTTGAGGTGGTTTCTCTTAGAGATGAGATAAAAGCACTGACAGCCAAAAAAACCGATGCTTGTCTTTCTCTTATTCTCAAATCCCTCACCTCCAAGTGCTCCTCCTCTTCACTCCATGTCCAGTCCTAATTCCCCTCTTTTTTTCTTGTCTGAAAATCTGTCGGTATTGCCTCGGTTCTCCAATGTAATGATCTTTGTGATGTTTTGACTACTGATATTTTCTTAAGAATGAAAATGATCTTGTTTCTTCTGACTTGTCTCATTATCTTATGCATTTTTGCTCATGCTAAGTACTGCCCCTGTGGCCATGAATTTGTTTAAAGTGCATTCCTAATTTACTTGGTTTATTGCTTCAACTCTTTTTTCTATGATGTCAAAAGGGGGAATATATTTGTGTAAAGATAGTATAGTTTAGTTTTTGTCGAGTCGAGGGACCTGACATGGTTGGTCTTCTAGTATTGGGACTGATGATAAGGGGAATGAACGAAACTAAGGGACGAAAGCTGAAGAGGTTAGTTTGCCATCATTAAAGGGGTAATTGTTATTCGAACAAACTTTGGACCTGATTTCACGAAAAATTGTACAGGAAAACTATTGTTGTCTAAAAGCGTGCAAAAGATTTGTGGTTGGTGCACGTCTCCCACTGCACAACAGGCCTTCAGCCAATGATTTGTTTCGGGTGTTTCTGCTCATCCTATATTATGTATATTCTCCATTATCAAAAACAAGCTTTTTGAAATCAGATCTTTCACAAAAAAAAGTCATTCTCTCAAGGAAATATTTTATCAAGGAACAACAAAGAACATGATAGAGTTATTATTGTTCTTAGTTGTTAGGGTTTAGATTTCGATGCTTAATGTTGTCAGACCTATCCTAAGTTAAAAAGTAATTGGATCATTTGTTGAGTATTCCGATTTTAGCTTGAGTTAGCTATGTCGAGTTGTTAAAGTCTAGATTAGCTGGAGTTAATTGGTGTAGTGGACAACATAGTTGTTTCTTAGTGCAGTAGAGTTGTAGCTTGTTTAATCTACGATCCTTGAGATCTGAGTTGGTGGCTAAAGTTAGCCTTGTTGAGCTCTTGAAGTCTAGATCCACTAGAGTTAGTTGATTTAGTAGGCAACGGAGTTATTGCTTAGTTTTTGCTGGTAGTAGATTTGTTATAGTAAGGAGAAGGGATTAAGAGTTTAATTCCTAGGTTACAAGAGCAGATCTATATCATTGCTCCGTTTTTGAGTGAAATGGAGTTGGGTTGAAAATCTTGTGAGGACAAGTCGTGGCTTTTTCCTCCCTTGAGCAAGGGAGTTTCCACATAAAACTCTTGTATGTGTTTTACTTTCAGTTGTTTACTTTCTGCATCATAATTCTGTTAAGGGGCATAGTTCATTGACTTTTAGTGGAGGCATACATTCTATCACGCACACTGGGCATAAAAACCAACCTAAAATTTTAGTAGTAGGTTCCACGACAAGCATCCACTAGCCATGGATTATGTCCGTGAAATAGGATTAAAGAGACAACACAATGTCTGAGTTTCATGAGAGAGTTCGTGAGTTGTGGATCATTCCATGAGCCATGAAAGGTCCTCGTGAACTCGATCTTGGAAGTAGTCAAAAACCCCGAGTTCCACAAAGTCACTTCATGATCAGTATATCATCCCACGCTCCTTGGAATTATCTCGTGGATAAGAAACTAAAAGATGGTAGAATGTTCCACAAAGGGATTTCATGAGCCATGGATCATTCCACCTCTGCCTATTTTTATTAGTTTTGCAACACCGGCATGAACCGTGAATGGCGAGATAATGTGGATACTCTGTCATCCCTTTGGAAGTTGTAATTACTGTGCATATAAAGAGAAAAGGTGTGTAAAGAGAAACGTAAAGTTAGAATGTGCTCAGAAAATAGGAGACAGACAAACTGGGGGGCATGAAGTAGACAACAACAACAATAACTACTACTACGCTTCAGTCAAACATAAAAAGATAGTTTGTTCTCACCAGTAAAAGATTAAGCTTCAGTAAGCAACACGAGATACGTTATCAGCCGAGTGCTGTTCCTGCAATTTAGTAACAGTCTGCACTTCAAGTTTTGACAAGAAAAGTAGTTTGCACTTCAATATATACTGGGCTGATTTATCTTTTCGCAGCTATTGAATATTCAACATGAAATCTTTCTTTTTCATGATTAGGAGGAACCGCTGAATATTTTAGTGATACTACACAGCTACTACCACCATTTTGGACATCCTTTATTTTATGACTTTCAACAAGAAGTTATTGCCGTGCTTAAGCTCCTCAAAGAAGGGTGTCGTTAAGGATCTTCTGGACAGAAATGAAGCCCCAACTAATTTGACTGTAAAGTCCTAGCCTAAAATTACACAGAGCATCAGTAAAATATCAGATTCCCTACAATCAATTGACATCAAAGTTGTTGCATGTTTATGCATCCAACAGGTCAAAAAGGTCAGCCTGGTATAGGAAGCATCAGTGACTCCATTAGCCATTAATTACATCCAACAAGTCAGCCATTTTTATTATAAGTAGTCCGCGATGAGTGTTAATTCACACTCATCATCACTAATTTAAACGTGCTGATATGGTTTAAGTAATATTATTCCCTTTTATATGGTTTCCTGAACAACTCACAATATAGAATATGACAAGGCTGGATCGAGATTTATACCTTATGAGTAAAGGAGATACTTATCATCCACCATTCATGAGATTCAGTTTTAGTTACAACTGTACTTGAATAAGTGTCCTCTTCTTTAATCAAATAGCAACATTTCTGAGTTCTTCCACTAAATAGTCTACCAACTCCTATCCATTTAAACAAAAAAAAACAGAAGAAAATAAAACAAATGATCGTAGAATGCCAATCATATTCAAAGCAGTTAAATAAGATTTTCTTGAATGTTATGCAATGGTTCAATGACGTACATGAATCTGCAGTAAACTTACCATTTTCAGATATAATCCAGTACCACCCGCAGCTTTTGGAACACGGTCTACACCAAAGATATCTCTGGTACTTCGCCTTGCATCCGCATAAAGAATGTCCAGCAGAATATTGAAATGACATACACAAAGGAAAGATGAAAAATATTCAGCATTAGAAAACTGAAAACAGTAAGCACACAGTAATAACATATACAATAATCCACTCAATAAGTACACCATAACAGAATTAGCAAGTGATTGATGCAATCTAATAGAGAACTATTCCACGAGGCATTTTTTTCGCGTTTGAGTCTTCAACGTCTTTCAACTGATAATAGTGGGGAGCTACTTCTACAAGCCATTCTGGTTTCAATTCAGTTACCTGCCGCATGTACTCCTTAGTTGTCAGGACCAGCTCATGGTAGACAACCCATCTAGGAAGTACCTGCGATAAACCCGAGCTGGGATGAACGTGACCTGTCTGGGGATGCTTAACAGTTCGATAAGACCCATTCTTCTGTAGCCTTGCTGAATGGGGAAAAAATCCTGATATTATAGACTTCTTAATAGCTTTCAAGTCATTAACATTTGAAGTCAAATCAATTCCAACCCTTTCAAGCCGACCTTCTAACTGATCTCGGATATCTCTAGCTTTTTTCATGCTTCTGACCTGGATGTAATTCTCATAGCACCACTGACTTGAAAATTTTGTTTCCTTCCAGGAATTGTAAACCTTAAGCAAAGCAATATGATCTCCAACATTGCCAACGTGAAAGTTCATCCACGCATTGTCAGCTTGGACTTGTCTATCCTTTGGGCGATAAAAGATTGAGTTCCCGACAGAAAGCATTGCAGCAATACTTATTATCTCAGCTGAGCACTTGTACTTATCAGAGGCAACTATCATCTTGGACAGCATCGGATCCAGAGGAAACTCGGACATTCTTTCACCTACTTTGGTTAACTTACCATCCTTATCAAGGGAACCAAGTGCAAATAACAGTTCTAGGGCTTTAAGTAGAGCTTCAGCTGGTGGAGGATCCATGAAGTCAAAGTTCAGCAAGTCGGTAATCCCTAAGCTCTTGAGTAAGAGCACGACATTTGTGAGGTTAGTCCTTTGTATTTCTGGGATTGTGTTATCTTCCAAATCATTCATGTAGCTATGTTCAGTGTATAACCGGAAGCACTTTCCAGGACCTATTCGTCCTGATCGACCAGCACGTTGGTTGGCAGATGCCTTCGAGATAGGAGCCACCATCAATGACTCAGTTCCTGTTCGAGGGTTGTAACTATTGATCTTACAAAACCCTGTATCAATAACATACTTGATCCCATCAATCGTCAACGATGTCTCAGCTATATTTGTAGCCAGGACAACTTTACGAGCCCCTTCAGGAGTAGGCTCAAATATCTTGGCTTGTAGTTCAGTTGGTAAGTTTGCATATATGGCACAGGTTATCAACTCAGCCATTTTTGTTCCCAAAGCTCTTATTCGGCGATTAATAATATTCTCAGCTGTTTCAATCTCCTCCTGCCCCGTCAAAAAGATTAATATATCACCATCACCCTGTGGTTGAGTTGCATGAATCTGAAGTGAAGTAACTACTGCTGCATCTAAGTAATCAGATATTGGTGCTTTTAAATGATGTATCTCAACCGTAAATCGCCTTCCAGGTATTTTAAAAATCGGAGCACGGTCAAAATAATCACTGAACTTCTCTGCATCAAGGGTGGCGCTAGATATAAGTAACTTGAGATGTGGTCGAGCACTAGCTACGTCTTTTATCAACCCAAACAGGATATCCGTTGACAATGTTCTTTCGTGAGCCTCGTCTATCATTATAACACTATAGCTTGCTAAATCAGGCTCTGTAAGGAACTCTCTTAGCAACATTCCGTCAGTCATATACTTGAGAACAGTTTTCTCACAAGTACAATCCTCGAAACGAATAGAATAACCAACCTCATGACCAAGTTTAACCCCCATTTCATGTGAAACACGCGCAGCAACTCTCATTGCTGCAACTCTTCGAGGCTGAGTACAACCAATCATCTTCCCACCGCTTCTAGTATAACCTGCTTCATGTAGATATTGAGGTATTTGAGTTGTCTTCCCGGAGCCCGTTTCTCCAACTATAATAAGAACTTGATGATCATGAACAGCTTGGAGCAAAGCATCCTTGTATGGATAAATAGGTAAAGCTTTCCTATCCTCGTTAAGTTTCGAATTTCTGGTACATTGGAGCTTCTCATTATCAACATCAACATCTGAATCTGAATCAATTATAGTTGATTTGATGAATTCAATTTGATCTTCAAACACAAATTGATAATCCTTCTGTTTTCTGTCTCTAGATCCAAAATTAAGTTTCGCATTGTTGATTTGATTTTCCTCCCAAGCTTGTTGTGGATGAATCTCTTGTTCCTCACCGGCGTCTTTGCATTGCTGCTCCTTACTAACCAATTCAACAATTTTTTGCTTGTATAAATGTTCATGTCTTTCTGGTTCGCTCAATTTTTCGATTTTCTCAAACAAAAATTGCCCATCTTCTATATCATCTCTGAGTTGCTTTAATTTCTTCTTCTCCCTATTCTTCAAATACTCCTGCCTTGAAACTTCCCTTAAATTTTCAATTTGTTCAGTATGCTTTCCCTTCAACTTAACATCTTCGTCTTCGTCTTCACCGGCCGTATTCCTCTTTTTGCTCTCAAGCGTTGGGCTCGATTTCTCCATTGCTGCAACTTTGTGATCAGAAAACGGCAAAACAATTTGATTTTACTTTAATGTCAAGGCATGCAATTCCGACTTTAATGTGAGTGGGAATAAGAAAAAGTTCTCTTAAGCACGTGTTAGACTAATTTTGACTTGATTTTTTTCCTTTTTCTTGTTGAACACATTAACTTGGAGGCCAAGATTATTTTCCACTCCAATATCATTAAAATTGTGTACAATAGTGTAAATGTTTTTTTGCTTTTTTATATTTAGTCAGTCGTAAAATAATTTGATCCAGCGTCAGTGGATAACTATAACCTTTAACTCTGGATGTGCACAAGTAGACACTTAAACTTATATAAAATTTAACAAATACACACATTCATCCTACATGGCACACCACATGAAAATTTTGTGTCCTACATGGCGTCTGACATGTAATACGTCATGTAGGATACATGTATCTACTTAAATTACCATTTTACCCAATACTAAATCAAAATGTTAATTTTAAAAAATAAATTGATTAATATTAAACATTAAATACTAATTATATCATTTTATATTAAATACTTAAAAGTGGAAGTTGTTAAGTCAAAAGTTGAAAAATGAAAATATCAATATAAAGTTTAAATTAAATATTTTAATCCTTTTAACAACTAAATTTAATTGTATTTTTAAAACATTTTTCTTTTCTTTTGTATTTATTTTTATTTCTCACCCATCATATCATATCATCGTATCATATCATCGTATGACATATATTATATTAAAAGTGGAAAGTCATAAACGTAAAAATTGAAATATCATTTTATCCTTATCCTAATTTAAAATATTATAACATATCTAAATAAGTTAATATTAATTAATAAAATATGTAAGTTAAATAATAATATATTAATTACCTAAATATTAAAATATTTAATTAAATAATGATATTTTAACTAGGGGTGGGCATTCGGTTTTTCGGTTCGGTTCAGTTTTTTTTTCGGTTTTTTCAGTTTTTCGGTTTTCGATTTTTATAAATTGCGTACCGAATATCGAACCGAAATATTTCGGTTCGATTCGATTTTTGTTAATTCGGTTCGGTTTTTATTAATTCGATTCGGTTTTTTAATTCGGTTTTTTAATGGGCCTGTTTAATTCGTCCGGCGGCTGGCTGACTGCTGACTGCTGCACGTCCGGCGGCTGGCTGACTGCTGACTGCTGCACGTCCGGCGGCTGGCTGCTGCTGAGTGTTGTCGCGGCTGGCTGCTGCTGTCTGCGGCTGGCTGCTGCTGTGCTGCTGGCGGGCGGCGGCTGGTTGCTGCTGTGCTGCTGGCTGCGGCTGGCTGCTGCTTCCCTTGTTGTGGCTGGCGCCTGGCGGTGCTTCAGGGAAGACAAGAGTGGTTGGAGACTTGGAGTAGAAGAGGAAGAGAGAAATGAAGAGGAAGAAGTCAAGAAGATGAGGAGTGAATTGAAAAAATCTGGTAGAAAGAGAAAGAGTCAAAAGTAGGGTATTAGGGTTTTTACTTTTTTTTTTAAAAAAAATATTTAATATTAATAATTATTAATTAATATAATATAATTTATAAATTATTAAATTATAGCATAAAATTTCGGTTTAAACCGAAATACCGAATTCCAAAGTAATATGCACCGAAAACCGAATCGAAATACCGAAAAATACAAAAAATTAAACCGAATACCGAAATACCGAAACCGAAATTCTAAAAAAATTCGGTTCGATTCGGTGTTTCGGTTTTTCGGTGTTTATGCCCACCCCTAATTTTAACCATATAAATGGTGAGTGAATGGAAGTTTAGTAATGTTTTTTTGGGTGTTTAATTATTTAGAAGTTCAACAATCTCATTTAATGCTCCATATTCAGTTTTTCTTAATGTGTCTACATAATTTTATTTACTGCAATCTTAAACAAGCTTCGTTATTAATCCTTTGCCTCAATTTTTGTTTTTTTACCCCTTTTTGATGTAAAAGTTGGTCCTTTCTAATTTTCAAATAATATTATTTTTTATTATTCATGCTAAACGTAGTATCTCTATAATTAAAAGTTGTCTCTTCAATTCATATAAGTGCATCTTTAAAGGTAATGTACATTGTATTCACTTTTTCTTTTTCCGGCCATTAATTTTTCCTAGCAATTTATTATATTCTTAATTGCTCTCTATAAAGGTCGACAAGTTATTTTCTTTTTATTGTTCTATTTTTTTTTCTTCTCATATACATTTTTTTCAGGTATGTGTATGATCACTGCTATTATTTCACTATATATCATTGTTTTTGTTTTGTTACTTTTGTTTCCTCTTGAATTTCATTGGTTTATCAACATGTTTTGTTTTTGATTTCTTTCCACCTTTAGCCTTTTGTTTGAGCAATTCTTTAATTGAGGCTTTCAACTTTGAAAAATGTTTTTTGTTGTGAAACTTCCATACATATATTTGTCAAAATATAATTCCTATTAATTATATTGATTTTGTTCGATTAGAAATTACATTTATCATTAGTTAACTCATTGTATTTTTATGTATAATTATTAATATTTTTACAGCTTTCTTGTTTATTACTTCCACATAAATGGCCTGGTAATACTTTCTCACTTTGTATTTACTTTTCAAAAATTAATTTTGTATTTATATTCTTGTTGGATGAAGTATACCAACTGTTTGATTAGTATCTCTCTATTGTTAGAAACTCAAAGTAATCAAAATAAAAATATTAACTTTGAACAAATATATTCATAGATTATTATCTAATTAGCCTTACTAATTATTTCAAACGTTATCCACAACCCAATATTCTTATTCCACAACTTTTAATTTTCTTCGGGCTCTCTGCTCCTTTTATTTTCAGTTAAATTTGATCATATCCTTTATTTAGATGCAATAAAGTTATACAATACTCCAAATTTTAAATGTATCATATAAATATTCTTATGTGGATAGTTATTAAAGATCTCTATAACAAGTAGTTATAACTTTCTTCTCCAGGTGCACATCACGAAATTGATAATGATCTCATGCATCCAATTAAAGATATATGTTAACTTAATTGCCGTACAATTTTAACATATAACTGTAATATGGTGGGGGTTACAATTTTGTATAGACAAGACACAAGCATTTAAGGCATGAAGTATTTGTAATCATAAGTGATGTTGCTCATATACATATTTGAACTATGTATTGTTGAGTTATCACATAAATTAAATATTTGATGAATTAAGAAAATCTCATAAGAAAAAGTCATATAATTTGTGAATCATATACAACTACCGACTATAGTATTAGTGGCCGAAGTAAAAGAATAACTTTAAAGAAACTTTTTTTTGGTCTTGAAATGAAGGGGATCATATAAACTCTATTTGACAGAGTAAAAACACCTCTTAAAGTGAAAAATTCACTTTTTATATGGTAATTTTATTTCTTGAATTTGTACTTACCCAAATCATCTTTATAAGTTTGTGTATAAGATTGCTATTATATTGTTATCAAATGATGTAAAGTTTGTTTTTGGCATAATACAATAATACATAAATGTGCCTTTTAAATTTTCTTCAATTCACATTTATGCCATTCGACTTTGGATGTGCACAAATAGATACTTAAGCTTGTATAAAGTTGAACAAATAGACACACATGTCCTACATGTCATCCTACATGTCATTTTTTATCCTACGTGGTGTCCTACGTATGTTGTGCCATGTAGAACTCATGTGTTTATTTACTTAAAAGTTGGATAGTTAAAGTGTCTGTTTGTGTATTATGAAAGTAGAGGTCAAACTTAAAATTTGAAGACAAGTTTAGCGTCCAATATATGTATTATGCCTTTTTTTTCATGCTACACTATGTCAAAAGGCACATGAATAGCTATAGATAATAAGAATTTATTTTAATTTGAATGAGACGATGACAAATTTAATATCACGATACATATGTATCATTTAAAGTCTTGAGTCAAATACTTACTCTATTTACGTTAAATTAATATCTAATATAATGTTCATATACATTAGTTAAGATTTCAATTTAACGTTATTGTGCTGGAGAGATTCTTAGAAAGAATATGAGTCAATTTTTTTTAACTTAAATAATTAGTTTTAAAATATAATTGTTCTACTCATTCATCTGAAGTTCAACTAAGATTTTGTTTTGGCATATATGAACACCAATTATCAATTTGAGTTTTTTCCTCTTTGAATTTACTTTTGAATCTCACACTAATATTTTAATAGTATTTATTATTTGTTAGGAATACACATATTATTTTTATGATATTGTTATTTCAGTTATGTCACGTAAATTTATTTTCTTCTTTATCAATAATCACCTGCTACCCTTATTTTCTGTTTATTCGTGGGAAGTTTGGAATTTGGAGTATGTTGTTTGAATTTTTGTTCCTATTGTTGGTTGTTCTCGCACAAATATCAATTTGATACTTCTTGTATGTTGTCTCAGTTTTGTGATGTCAAAATGCCTCCTCCTTACCTTGGCCTTAGCTTCCACGTTGTAAGATGAATTAACTTTCCTCGTTTAGAGAAACTCTTAACCCTTGTAACCAATTGTACCCTTTTGCTTAAACTTAATATATTAAGAGATCACTGTGATTTTTTTTGCTGGAACTTCCCTCATCCATAGATATCGTATTTTTTTCATGTGGTTAACCTTCACTTAATATTCATTGTAGTTGTTTTTTATGTATTGCTCCTAATAGCAGTTTTAACTTTGATTTAGGTATTATGCCTTTGAATTTCTGTTGCTGTATGTTTACTTAAGTTCACATAGACATTAAACTCAAGAAACTTATTAGAGAGAAAGAAGTTTATGTTGTCATAAAGCTCCATGCCCACATTGACAAAATAACCGACAAGTAAATACACCATACCTTGAATTTCTATTATTTTTACAACGTATATTGATGTGTTTCTATCCATTCATGAACAAATTTTTGAACAATTAACTTAGCTTTCCTATTTATTTTGAAATGTAGATATTGTGATATGTATTTTTTTTGGAATGTTGGGTGTCATTGACAACAAATCTAGTGTGTACCTCCAGATGTGTTCTTTGTTTTGTTAGTGTTATTTATGTTTCTATTTAGTTTTTTCTAGTCTATGAATTAGAGATTTGGGAAATTGAGCTCTGTAGGCATCTTCAAAAGTATATATACTTTTTGGTTTATATTGTTTTCTTTTTCCTACCATATAT